TGCATGTATCTGCATATAACAACTGCATGTATCTCGTTAGTGATATATTTACTACATTTCTTTGATTATAATGAAAAGGCTGAAATGCTAATGAATTTACTAATAAATTTAGGTTTCTAAGAGATGTGAGTCATCTCTTGAAAAGCTCAAAATCGGGATAGTGAAAAGTTGAGGAAATGGGAGCAGTTAGACAAAAAGAGTAGTTGAAATTTAGAATGAACAGTCGTGGGAATTAAATGAAGAGATATGAAGCGGTAATGATTCAGTCATGAAATGCATGCTCAGGTATAAAGCACCAAGGAATATTCAAATCAGTTAAAGAATGAAGAAGCTGAAAATGTTATCTAAATCTATGAGAGAGAGAGAGAGAGAAAGAGAGACAAAGAAAGGTAAGGAACAGACAAAATTGGTTTCATAATTATACCTTGAGATGACACTTTCTTAGAGATGACTGGAATAATAATTGACTGATATAAAATATAATGTTTAATTTTTAGTTGTTAACAGAGATGATGAATAACATAATGCAAAATAATCTGCTCTTCAAAAAGCAGAAAAGAAATCGTCATTGACTCAAATTATGATTATAAAATGATAATGATAAGCATGATCAATACGATCGTCCCGATTGTAATAATAATAATAATAATAATAATAATAATAATAATAATAATAATAATAATAATAATAATAATAAAACTTGCCTCCATGATGGTTGTTGGAAATGCCGAGATGTCAGCAATTTCTAAACTAAAAGCACTGATATGCAGTTGGATAGGAATTTGCTTTTACTGGTAACTGTCAAAGTTAAGCAGCGTTAGAGAGAGCTTGCTACTTGTTTTCCGCTCCACCTTACTTGATAATGACTAAGTCAGTTAGCTTGAGCTGAGAACTGTAGATAAGATTAGGTAAATGGGACAGAATAGGAAGAGAGTCGGTGAATTTGCCAACAAAATTGAAGCAAGAATCTCTACAGCAGATCATAAAAGCTCTTGAGTAGTTTAAAATGCTATTACAGTAAAGAGTTAGGTGACTTGACAAAAGTAGAGAAAGGCGCCAAAGGAATGATGATGATGATGATGATGGTTGGAAAAACTAGTTCAAATATTGGATGGTTACAACAATCTTCAATGATTACTTAGAATATGTATTCTTTTTCATTCATTCTCAATGCTACTCGTACAATGGTACATTGATGGATTGGGATTGGATCGGAGATCGGATCGGATTGGATCGCATTTGATTTTACACTCTTTTGTGATTGTGATGCTATACGGAGTTAAAAAAAAAAAAAAGAAATGAAGCGAACAAAATCTTACCTCTTTTCCTATAACTTTTTTTTTGTTTTATTGCAATGCAATTTAAAAGAAAATCTTTCTCAAGTTTTGAATCTTTGATGATAAAGAGAGATAGATAAATACAATATGACAATGGCCTTAACAAAGCAGAATTAGCACAGTATGTTACCATATAAATGTAAATATATCTACTCTACACCATTCGAGACCCCTACACTTGACCAGATGAATGTATCAGCGATTGCTGTTTGAAAGATGAAAGTAAAACCTAAAGCAAACCGATAGGAGTAGCTGACTAATCAGCTCAGTTAAACAGAATATTTCGATAATTTTAACAATGCGAAAACTTTTTTATGAATATCGGGTTAACCATATCCGCGTACAATCACAATGTTCTGATCCGAATAAATGATAAATTAGAGATATTTGTTGCAGTTGAATCTCCTCAAGAAGTTCCATTTATCCATTAGTATGAATAGGCTTAATTTATATATCAGATCCAAATTAAAAAGCTTTCTTTGATCGTAGATGATAACGTTTTAATCTTTGCTTTCTCACCACTGTCTTTGAAATTCTTCTTTAATAGATGCCATCAGTGACAAATAGATTTAAACTTGTAGCATGGATTAGGGGTTTCAAAACAACCTTGAAAAGAACTACAATATTGTTGGCTCATTCCGCTGACCTTACGATAAGTTAAACACACAAAACATTTTATTCGAAAAACTTAAAGGGAAGCAAATTAATTTAAACAGGGAAAAAAATTTGGGTTTACTGTAAACGAAAAAAGCGCAAAGGGTAACAATAAATTCTCAAAGCATATTGCGCCTGAACTAAAAATTATCCTAAAAAGAGTTTGTAAAATTTTCAAAAACTTTCAAACTATTCATATAAATAACGCATATTTGCCATCTAAATGTAATATTTGAACTTTCAGCGGCTAATCATTAGCCGAATATGCGCAGAGGAATATGATAGATTTGCATTGCGAAAATCGAATCAAAAAATCAGTTTATGGAATTGAAAATGGAAACTGAATTAAGGGATACGGTTGCTATCGCTTTAATTAAATGCACTTCCAATTAAGTTACTTCGCTTTCGTCGCTTTCTTTTCCTTTGATTATAATGGCAATATTACCATTTATATGGAAAATTTTTCGATCTTTCAAGTCACACGCCTTCTTCAGAGATTTCAAAATTCGTTATTGCAGTTCAGTTTAACTCTCCAAGAGCGTCATCTCTTTCTGTGCAAATGTCTACAACTTATGGAATCTCATGTAAGAATTTAAATTCAAATCAAATATCCGAAATGTAGGAGTTTTCCCTTCTAAAGAATATTTATGATTAATATTGCTTAAAGTTTTATTAAATGTAGCTCTAGCCAAGTTCGTAATTAAGCTCATAAAATAGCACTGAAATGTGGCATTTATTGATTTGTCTTTGAAGTCTTGGTTCTATTCACTGCTAATTAAAGCTCTCTAATAATCAAACAGTGTTTCAGGGGTGTTCGTTTGCTTGGCATTATTTACTGCAACAAATGCTTTACGTGGAGCTTTATTCAGAACAGGAAAAAGATTCCGGTCATCCGGCCGATACGACCCCTATATCAATCAATTCAAACCCGGAAAATCGCTTAAAATGGTGGGTTAGTGCTGACAGGTTTTTTTCACAAAATTCTGATTTTTTCGACAGTTCGCATGAATTACACACGCATAATATCAGCACACAAATGCAAGACAGACTAGTTGTGCACAATTGACGAGCATAAGTAATGGTCCACATTCATCTTTAGTCCAAGACAAACACAAATTTCTGAGATTTTTTGAATTCTTCAGATTAACCAAATTGTTTAAAGTATTATGAGAGATATCCCAAGAATAGTCAATTTAAAAAGTATTTTAATTCGATTTTTCTTCAAATCCCATTTTTAATTTTTGTTGATCAGTTGAACCACAACAACAATTCTATTACAATCTAGAAAACTATTCATGACGCCTTAAGCGACGATTGATTGGAAGCACAAAATAAATTAGAGAGCAGCCTTTGCAAATCTTTCTAATAATTTACAGTAATCTTAGGACTTCAACATTCAAGAATCCGTGTACCAAACTAAATTTATAGAGATTACCGGTATTCAAAATAAGTTTGATACCATGAAGCTGTCAGAAAACTGTCAAAGTTCATTTCTTTGTCATATTTTAGATTGATGGAACGGATTACAATAACGGAAATCAGAATGGTATATCATCAAGTATACGAGATATCAAGAAAACAATCTACTTGCAGTATTTATTGCAGTGAACTGGTTATGTCATCACTTATAAAATAAAATAAATGACTTCATAATACTCGTAACAGTTGTACTTCGGCATCCGTCTATTTCTTTTCCAAATTAACATTCGCTCTTGAGTTCATTGACAATTATTATCTTTTTACACTCTCTCTCCTCTCGTTATAGCTATAATTGCTTATTCTTACCTCACTATGTCAGGTTTTTCATAAAATGGAACTATTGATTTGTTTTTTACAAAACCGAGAGTGTTTATGGACTAAAATTTTGAGTTTAAAGAATTACCACGGGGATGATTCTGTCCATCACAAAATTCACGTAACACGCATCACGTATCACAGATATATCCGTTAAAACACGTTGTACGATTTGTGTGTGATAACAATTTGCACAATTTTAACCTAACATATAATTGAAATTGCTTATCCACGCTAAGGAAATAGATCCGGAGTTCTGGTTTATCATTAGCTTGAAAATGAGAGGTGGGAGCGCTGGGGGAAAACTTAATTATCGAACTTGTTAATAACAATTTAAGCTTTCCTTTTTGAATTCTTTCCAAAGTGACAAGCCTAGCACCAAGACTTTTAAAAACTTCATCTGTTATTTACAGGGAATTCCTGAGAAATGCTAAAGCTATCAATAACAAACAATTCGTTGCTGGTTGAGCTATTAATGACCAGGATTGTCCTGTACTTTGTAATACCATTTCATGCCCTAAAAATGTCAAAAAAAAATCAATATTTTTTATTAGAAGTAATCCACAATAGTAAATTTAATTATTTTTTTGGTTTATAATGATAGAAAGACAAAAAAAAGGACTTCTTAAAAAACTCCTACGCCTGTAAACGCCTGCAATAAATGTTGAAAAAGGCAAAGAAAAACAAATAGAATTTTTAGCAAATAGAGTAAGTTTTATCAATGAAGTCCTTTTTGACATTTTGTAAAATGAAATGTTTGCAAATTTCTAGAGAAACTATAGTAGTAAATACAGCGAAACCGGGTACGGACTAGAGGTGCAGGAACTTAAAATGAAATAAACATGAAAATATTATCACTACTTTCTAAATCGCAAAAACACTACAATCAACGTCATACGCTCATGCCCAATATTATCTGACTTACAACAACTTTCAAATAATAATAATCAATTCAATTCGAAAAACGCAGAAATTTGAACTACACATTCTATAAAAAAGAACTTCCTTTCTGGAGAGTTTGCAGAAAGAAAGACTAGCTTAATGTTAATATGAAGAATCGAAACTTCTGAATCCAACTTACAGCTCATATTACTTTATAGGTAAGTGATTTAATAGCTTGCAATGAAAAAGAGAAAAGAGACGATTTTCTGTTTGATAAGTGATATGCCTGGGGTCAGGCTGTAAATGAAAGACTTTTTGGGCACTGATAAATACAGCTGATAAAGATGATAATATGAACAAAGTATGAGGCAGTATTATTGCACACATAACTGAGTGAAACAAATTTTAGAGTAGATAACGACCGAGTCCTTAAGACTATGCAAGTAATTAATTAATTAAGGGAAAAATATGCATGACCAAATTAGGACGCGAGAGTTAAATAATTGAGTTGATAGCCATGAATATGATGAGCACCGCGGACTTTCCGGTTGTGAGAAATTCTTTTCGCCAGACGGTGCATGATTTCTATGCCGGTTTTTTCTGACATGTTGAAAATCAAACATTTAACAGCTGTTTGTCGCATTTAATTCTTCCTCATCATCAGTAACAGTGGCGAAAGGACGATAAGATAACGGTGATAATATTGTTCGAACTTCTGTGCCACGATCGCCACCATTGATTCGTTGTGGATTTTTGCAAATTAAGAAAGGGACATAGAACATTTTGCTATGCAACAATACCGATGATGCAGAATGTAGCATTGGTAGCCTATAATGACCATTAAACGATATCTTATCAGTTAACATAGTAACCATAGGAGATGGACTAAAAATTTGATCACAGGTAGATTAGGGAGATGTTTGAAATATGCAAGAAGAAACATTATTGCATATTATACTTCAAAAATCAATTAAAGTTGTACTTCATGAAGTTTCTTGAAGAATGCTATAAATGTGACCACCTTATAGCCATCTAGCATAATGAAGTGACCATAATATCATGACATAACCGATTATATTACTTTTAGAATGTTAAAACAATATAAAATAACAAGATAAATAGAAATGGACCATGTTAAAATATCAGTTAGTCGTGCGCCATTTTCATGCTGACTGAGGTGTATCTGCAAAGCCTTCACGAACTGATCCTGTATTATAGATACTTTTCGGACATAGACACTCCGCACCATCGATTCTTTCACATCAACAGCCGTTTCATCTAAAAAATCAAACAACTGATAAAAATAAAGCAGGATAAGACTCAAACTATCACTAATTTGTGCTTTTATTTGATGTGAACTTAAGGTCTCACCACCTTAACAACAACTGATCTCTTACCTATAAGTAAATCAGGAAACAAAAATTGGAATATATGCACCATTAAACCATTAAGACAGAATAACCTATTTTCTCTTCTATCTTTTTGACTCTAGAAGGTGGAAGAGAAAGTAAGTTATTTTGTCCAGAATCAAGAACAGGCAGAATCGATTTGACCCGAAATGCCTTAATTAAAAGTGTCACTAAAAAGATAACATTCTTCTCAGTCCTTTCTTCCAAGGTCCTTTTATCATTGTCATCGTTAAAGTACATCTCACTGATGTGATGTAATGCATATAGTTCAAAAGCTAGATTTCTTTGAAGAACAGTTCTAACTTCTCTTTTCAATTTCTCAGGCAGATTTTGAATAAATTTAGAAGAAGTGAAACAAGGAAAAAAGAAACAAAACTCGTCCTCTCGTCTCTCCACTTTTAAAGAAAAAATTTTTCGGAAATCAAAATATCAAAATTGGAAATTAATAAAATGACTTTATTTTGATTTATTCGTTTGAGAACATCTTCCAAACTTCGGAAAACACATCAAATTGGATCATTTAAGCTAACAAACCACAACTGTGAGGTGTATAATGCAGTAAAGTGATGGCTTTCAAGCAAACGTATGCTTCCAAGGTAATTTTCAAACGACTGAATGAATGCAATAAAGCAGTGAATTTTTCGACTAAAGGTGAAGCTTCCCTGAAATATGGTCACTTACTGAAAATAATGCTGTAAACATAGCAAGCACTCTTCAAATTCTTTCTCTTTATTTCAAATACCGCATTTTTAACTTTTTTAACCAAGGCTGAGTAAACGCTTTCATAACATATCATTTTTTCAACCTGGTTTGAATCACATCCTTTGCAATAATAACGCACAGTCTGTTAGCCAAAGTTTGTTTTACATTTCTGATTTCGCAAAAGTGAACAAACTTGTTGACATGCTCCAGTGGTATATGTTTCCCCATAACGGAACACAATCGTTTCTGCAGCAGTTGTAAATTAACGGAAGAATCAACGAAAGATACTTCTTCGATATCATCAATAGTTGTCGAAGTGACCGGTAAACTTTCTTGACTGGAAGTTCGTGTTGAGGCAGCATAAAAGCAAGCCGACAGCAATACCTGAGATCTTTGATTTAAGTTGAGGACATAATAATTTAAACATAAAAAAGCAAAATAATCGTAATTATATCTTTAGTAAGCGAGATTAATTTCAGACCAGCTCAGCCCATCGTTGCGTCAGCAAATGAGTGTGTACTTCCACAGGTAAATCGTGATAGAACGGCAGCATCTTAGTCCATTCAACCAGTTGCTCAACAATTTCATCACCGATTCTTGATAACCTCTGACATGCGGGGATCGTCAGATCGCTATTACGTGATCCCAATTGCTGGGCTATCCGCAAACCTTTTAGATTGATTAGTTTTTCGATATGATCTATTTCAATCAGTTCCTGGAAAAGAAAAATCACTTTTTTAAATGCTATAGGAAAGGACTGTTCACATCTGCAAAATTACCACCGCCAACTTTAAATATGTGCAAATGCATTTTGAATTAAACTTCTGGACAGAGTGGAATCAGAAGCAATAAAATGCATCAAGTAATCAGTTGAAATTAAATTTCGCTTTTTTTTTGAATCCACAAGTTAGCAAAGAGATCCAAAGAATAACAGGAAACACTCACGTGGTTAGTGAATACTTTAGTGGAATAACAGAACTAATTATTTCACTTGAAAAAAAATCATATTGTCATCAGGGGTCATTCGCTTGCATCCTTGCATAAGCAAAATTATGCGATATGATTTTATGAGTGATAAATGGATGATTTCCCATTTGGATATTGATGAAAGAGACTGCATTTTCAAGTTTAAAGTTTGAAGATTAGACAAATGATGATGGAATTGAGAAAATATGATATGTCCAACAGCTAAAGAAACCACAATGATAAAAATGAAGGCGATAATTAGTCGTTGATATTATCATCGATTCTCTTATAAAGTCTTATATATTAAGTCGATGTATCGTTCCATATTCCCTTACCTTTACTAATGAAGCTAAAAACCGAATTTCACAACAAAAGGTTTGAAATAGTAATTAAAGTTAGGATAAAACAGATAGAAGACATTGAATGAAGGTCAATAACATCTAAACTTTCGACGAATCCAATCATTATCGGATAAATGATCTTCATGGTCAGATTTTATTATTAGAAATCAAAAGAAAAATAGCATGGATTTGTTACAAATAATTTTTCATTACACCAACAGATCTTAGTGATCTGTAAGCAACTCTTGACCTTTAATTAACAAATGAATTAACAGTATTTAGATACTCAAAAACATCTAAAGATCCATACAGATTATATTGTGTGAAAGTTTATATACTTAGTATATAAACTTTTTTATACTTAGTTCGTCTTTGAAAAGAATTAGCCTTTTAATCGAAGCAAATACTTACAAGATTCGAGGATCTTTTCAAAGAGCCACAAACGCGATGCTAAGGAAATTATCACCTTAAATAGCTCCAAAGAGATTTATTGCGACTAATTCATTCATAACAGATATCACTACAAAATAACTTTTAGAAAAAAAGATTCTTAGGTGACGGTTTTTGTGAAAATGAAATTGAAACATAAAAATTAGAAGCAAAAGTCTAAAGAATTATTGCCTGTTATATGAACCATTCATTGATTAAAGTTCAGATAAATATCACTGATCAGAACCGATATAAAATCGATATCATTTTGGCAACCATAAGATTGCTTCGATGGATTTGTCAAAATAAAATTTGTTGAAGAAGGACATAAGTCAGACGTTAAATTGGAAGTAAATGTATAGATTAGTCTTTGTTGACACTAGACTAACTTACTAAGCATTTATTTAATTAAATACATTTGCGAATCAAATATTAAAGATGTAGTGGAAAGTAAAGTAGAAGTTACTAGACTGTTTCTTGGCCATTGCATAATACGAATAAATTACGATGATAATGAATTCCTAAATCAAAGTTATTCCTTTTTACATTCCTGACGGATTCAGGTGCATTTATTCTACAGCCTGGGCAAACAGTTCTGGTTATACCTGCAAGAAAAACAAGCGGTGAAATCAAAAACTGTCTAATCGCTATCTTTATAATTACTATTTTATTCCATCTGCTAATTAGCCGGACCAAAATAAGAATTGAATAAAAATTAAAAATTCAACTGCTACCTGTATCAGATTCTTGTTATGAGCAGGAAGAGGAGATCTACTGGAGACAAATTGAGCGGCTATCCTACTACTACAGCCACTTGTTGGAGGTATTTCTTCACTTCTGATAGCACTCTCTTTGGCCGATAAATTAAGAGGTTCGGTGCTGGGAGGTACATCAGGTGCTGATGTGCCTGACAGTGGGCTCCGCAGCGGTGCGCGTCCCATTGTTCGTTGTTCTGGAGGTGTACCTCTTGAAATGGTGCCAGAAGCACCTAATGGGGTACCACAACGCGGAGTGTTTTCTCGTAAGATACTTTCACAGAGCGCTTGTAAACGCCTTGTCTTCTTATATTTCAATTTGTAAAGATTGTAAATAGCGCTTCCGTTCCGACCACCAGGCATTCGATCTTCCCGTACCGCTTCAATTAAATTCTAATTAATTTTTTTAAAGATATCTCAGCAATGTATTCAAGAAGTGATGTCTTTCTTGATTACTTCGATCCATAACATTGAAGATGCAAAAGATAGATAATTATCTAAAATAATTATCCAACAATTTTATTATTTGAATAAATGATTAAATACGGAAATTCTAACCTTCAAGGATCATACCCTGTTGTAAACATTTTTGAAATCGACAAAACTGGCATCGATTCCTTTGTTCCTTGGTCATCGGGCAACTTCCGGTACCACTAACACATGTATACACACGTTTATTCTGCACCGTTCTCTTGAAGAAACCCTTGCACCTGGAAGTTAAACTTATTGCACCTGTTAAAAACTTATTTTCATAAGCATAGCGTTAAAACCAGATTTTCGTTGGATAAATTTTATTCGACCCGTTCTGAAAATGCAAAAAGCGGAAAGAATTTGCATGCAAGTACCTGAGTAGATATGTTGAAAGGTAAACACATATTAATTTGTTCTTAGTCATTCTGAAGCAAACAGTTCAAATTTTCAACAATTCCTACTACTATTCTATAAAGTTCCATTGGATGCTAGCAACATACAGTAATTCCGGTTTTTCAAAGGTTTGTGTTTAATGGTGAATCTAAGTGTAAGTGCTTTGAGTGGCGTACCGGATACCAGTACAAAAATAAACAGTGGTAAGGAATGATTCGGTGAGTAAGATGTTGTGATGACCGGTTTTGTAGGCCATCTGGAGAGAAAATGATTCCAATGAAATAGGTCAGCACCGATACATTTTAGGTCGTTATGTGCAACTTAAAGTGTCTATTCTGAATGTTATTCTAAAGGAGGTATGTTTAAGTGAATTTCTACACGAGATATGATAATAACACACAAGCAATCACTTCATTCTCTTCAAGTTTTAGTTTGGAATGCACTCATCGAACCATTTCCATTACTGCCTTTCACATCATTTCACACATTCATTCCACTTCTTCACTCATTTCTCAACCTTTGATAGGAATTCTAAGAAGAGCTTCGAATCTGCATTTATGGAAATGTAAAATATGGCATTGAAATCTAAAATTAACAATTGTAGGAAATTTCCTTTAACAGATGTTTTTTGATGAATGCACAAGCAGTCACAGATTATTATATTAGAAAAAAAAGCAGGACAGGGAAATAAACTGTTCCTATCTCATGACAGGAAAGTAGACTGTCCCTATTTGCATTTCCTGAGAGATGCAGTCAAGTTTACAAGTAAAATATTCAGGGAAAATTGAATAGGTAATAATAAGTTAGTTGTCGAGAAGTCGATCGAGAAATAAGAAGTAAGTCGGGAAATATCGATCGGACGACGATAAATGACCATTGAGGTGAAACTTTTGGAACAATAATAAGACTACCAGGAATAACCGAGATGAATTTCCTTTTGGCTATCAATCTTTAACCGTTTTATCATCCCATGTTATATCCACACCTAATTCCAAAACATTTAAGCGTTATACATAAGGCACATTTTTTCAATAGCATACCTATCAATGCTATGGTATGTATTGACCTGTCATTCCACCACTTACTCTTTCAACACATTAATTTCTTTTAATACTTACTGTTGGATGAATTCCTGATATTATTTACCATTAACATTCCTGTTATGTGTCTAATTTAGTAAGTCATCTGACTATGCAACGACTTTTTAGTAAAGGTCTCCCGAAAACGGCTAATTGCTAATCATTCTTTTTTATTTATTCATTGAATGATCTGTCTGTTTCAAGTTAATTAAAAAAGTAATTTACACATTGCAAGACATTTCATATAGGAAAAGAATAGTTTTACTTGGAAATTATTTGCAATTTGATCTATTATAATGGCACCATTCACTTCTCACTCATCCCGAAATGAAAGCTTGTAATGATTAATAATCTTCGTGCAGGATATCATGCAGTATTTCTGCACTTATACTGCAGGATATCATGCAGTATTTCTGCACTTATACTGCAGGATATCATGCAGGATTTCTGCATTTATTCTTCATACAAGATTATGGTTGACAGCTTTTTTCCGTCCTGTCTTTCACTGTTTTGGAGAAATCTTAAGAATGATCATCAGTGAAGCCGAAGTATAGATGAGGATAGGAATGGAGTATTAACTGTTATACAGTCTTACGACAAGAAACCACTTATGAGAGAAAATGAATGTAAAAAGTAGAAATTGCCTAAACTGACACAGCGCTATTATTCTTTTTTGAAATAAAAAATTGCAAACTGCATAAAAGTGGACAGATGCTAAATTCGTGCATAATTCTTTTTGTGGGTACTTTATGACTCGGCTTGATTTGACTCAATTTGATGAAGACATACCAAAAAACTCTGGGAGCATTACATTTTAGAATTCGAAAAAAAAATTATTGAATTCCAAAATTCTAACTTATTTTCAATTTCCGAAGCTTTTCACGAAATGTTATGTTCTACAGGTTCGCACATATAACAAACATTATATGCATACCGAGTGTATCACACACTAACTTCATCAGACAAATGAGTACAAAAAAATAGGGCATCAATGAATGACATTTTGCGCACCTTTACAGGTTTGAGGTTTGACTATGAACACAATTCATTTTATCTAATGATGAAATAAAACGCCTGGAAACAGTATTACACAAGAAGAAAAGTAGAAGGAGAATTCGAAAAGTTTGAAAAGAATTTTGCTAAATAAAGAATAAGGAAAGATACAAAGAAGTGTAGGTGGGAGTTATGTAAGTGATGAGTTCTGGGATAAAATACATTAAAATGAAAAGTAAGTCCTGTGTCAGATTTCAAAAATTTCTCTTAACTGCAAATATGCTCCTTTCGAACAAACGAAAGATGTCGAAGAACAAGTGAATTCGCGTGTGATAGTATTGAATGACGACGGGCAATGTCCACAGTAAATGAAGTTCAGCAATATATGTCTATATTACTGACCTTAATTCAAATCACGCCTTTGAAACAGTGAACAAACACCTGGTTGTCGCACCATGAACTGCCATCCTGTCAACCTTCCAGCATTTTAGTGTATAAAAAAGGCGGACGCAAAAACAATTTATTTGTAGGATGTCGGCCTCAAAAAGGTAGAGGAAGATGGACAACATGAAGAAGGAGGAACGAAGAGTGAGATGGAAGATATCTTCGACGGAAACCTGATAACCTATTTCATGCCATTTTTGATTTGATTTCTGTTATCAGGCTACACTTTTCTTCACAAGCAATATACCAATTCTTACAACCACTACTACTACCACCATTAATTAACACTACACTACCATTACTACACCACCACTCACTATTGCTGTTACTACTAATTGCTACTGCTATATAAAGTCTGAAATCCCTTCAATTGTTATGCCAACGATTCCTTCCTCCCAGAACGTAACTGAAGCGGGGCAGCATTTCCGAATGACTGTTGCTAACAGTAACATAGTGACCATAATGACCAAGCGTGGACATATGGCAGATTTGTTTCAAACATCTGCCACTATTACAGGAAAATTCATTGAACGATCAATTTCTCATATCATAAAGACTATTATTTAAAAAAGCTAAAAATATATTCCGAAATGATAAAAAGTGAAATTCTGTCTTTTTTATTCACAGCTTACTTTTTCGAAATTATTAGTATTTTCAAACCTCATACTCTCAACATTTTCAGATCGAAATGATTAAACTAGAAATAACAAGCAATTCTACTTATTCATTAACGTCATGTTATTCGCAAACAATATGTCCTTTAAATATGTAATTCACAATTACATATGCAATAGTAGAGTCTGATTAATCCTTAGACAAGATCAGATCACCATAATCAGTTGGCCCAATAGCTTTTTTTTGACCTCATAATTATAATAATTCTCGAAGTCTCGAAATCTGTAACTCAAATTATCGAAATAGCTTTTGAAAGGTAAAAAATGATTACCCTTCGCATGTGTAAATGCCGTAATGTAATCCTGATGATTTGTCGGCACAAATAGCGCACAATAATGGATCGTCGTCCAAGTAGTCGGTCATAAGCGCTGCAGTAAACTCTCCTGAACGGTGTCCATCTGCTCGTCCATTCCACGCGTACGTCGTTTCTGATCCATTTGACTGAACTAAACAGTTATTCGATGTAAAATACAGATTGAAACATTATTTTTGAAACAAAAAGTTCAATGGAATTCAAATCGCAGCTTATCAATCAGTGCTGACTCATGCCAGGAAAATAAGGAAAGTCACTCCAAACCTTAAATTTTTGGTAAAAATTCAATCGAAATCTTTAATATTTCAATTATGAAAATTTCTTTCAGCACTGATCATATTCAATGTATCAAGCATAGAGACCAATAGTATAATACTGGGGAAGTACCACAAGGAGTATTACATCTTGTACGAATTGCTTATTGACCAACGTTTATCATTAAATAAAATTAGCTTTAAAAAAGATCAGAAAGGATGCATGAAATTATTCATAATGTCCCATTTTTCTGATATAAGCAACCAAAGTAAGATAAAGCTATCGCACATAAGATAGCGCTAGAAATTTTAGTTGGTACATTGTAAACCTGATGTCAACGATGGACTGCTTATATTGGAGCTCACGACGGCCGTATTTGGTTCCACGCTGTAATGGCTCAACCAGGAGAATTTATCGGAGCTGCGATCAGATCCAGTGGTTATTGTTGTTATGCGGTCCTTCTGTGACGTACTAGATTGTGACGTTCTTGAGCATGATGTCTCCACACTTTGGGGTGAATCAGGGCTTAAAATTTTTTCAAATTTCATTCCCCAAAGTTATTAACATGCCCGTTGTAATTCTGTAATACACGACAAACCTTTAAACTAGGTAGACCATAACAATAATTTTGAAATTAAGCTAAAAATTGAATTGCAGTTAAAGCATTACTACGGTTACCGATGCTATCAGAATGAAGCCACATATGAAGATTAGATTAGCCACCTCAGATTTATCTATTACTACTGGATTTCAAAATTTGCAGCTGCAAAATTGATGTGTAATCACAAAAACTGACAGATAACTAAAACATGTTAAAAATATTTTTTGAACATTATCAAAACTGCGTTCTTTCCTGTTAATGTTCGAAAAGCATTAAAATTGATTCATTCGTTTGAAAACGCTCCTACAGTTAAAAATTTTGAAAATTTCATTGCACTTTTAGTAAACAAACACCAAAGTATGATGAAATATCGAACTCGTTGGTCAATTGTCCAAATTTAAATTTCAAAAATGATGAGAAACAGTTTTCGCTACCAGATGATATTGAGAAATCTGGAATTACAAAACACCGTCCCAGGTTAGCATAGATGATGCTTAGTTTTCCAGTATACTTTTCCCGTTCAGTGCTTTTGTCCTTGCTGCCCTTTCAGAACAAGTTTTCAACGTATTTAAAAACAGATTGATTTGGGTGATCTAGAGACCCAAAGTGTTGTCGCGACAGTACAAGGACATACAAGACTCTGGCTTTGTCAAGGTCATTTTCCTCATTTCTTCCTCGAGAATAAATTATATAATTCTTTTTCAAACTAACTCAGTTATTATTCATGATGCTTATCCATCACAAACTTTTTATAACGAGTAGTACAGAGAAAATGTATCAAAGGCTATCAGTTTAGAATCTTTCTATCAGATATATTAAGTACAGTTTAAGGAGAAAGTGTTAATTATCAGGTGAATTATTGAAATAGCTGTTGGATTAACTTATTATTAAATAAGGAAACTCAGCAGAATTGGTCGCTAGCTAAGGCCTGCTTATTTTTCATGTGTTAAAGAGCTTGGAAAATGATGAAAGTGGCAGTATGCTGGAAGATCGGAGTATCCCAATAGGATAATCATTACTTTTTCTGTAGAATTTATAATAAAGATCTTTTTTGGTAAGAATGTTAAAGATTGGATTTGCGAAAAAAACTGAAATATGATGATGCATCACTTCAGGTCATGTTATCTTGAAATAATTTCCTACAATTTAGAAAAATCCAAAATTCAAGTAAAGTACAACAAACCTGCATTGCTCTTTCCGAACCGTCTTACTCGTTTCTGGATCCCAACCGATCCGATTGCTTGCAGTAGTAGGAGCAACCGATTTACTGACTAAAGCTGTGCTCGGCGACAGCGAATGTGAGCTGGGAAGAATGGGTGGCCGGGTGATCTGCGCTAACTGGTGCAGATCAAAGCCATGACCCATTTGTGTTAGGTAGTAACTATAAAAGGTGAACGGGTCGGTAGCTGCTGTATGCGGATAAGGCCTGAAACACACCATAAAACAGCATAAACTCACAACAAAGGGAAAAATAAATAATTGGCCAAAGTGAAAATATCAAAGTAATCTAAATTACCACCGCTAACACTTTTGATATTTTCCAAAATACAACGTTTGACATATACCATAGCTCATCAAAGAACAATTAGTTTTACACGTTGAAACCTCTGGATAATCATTATTCTGGTGATAGTTAATCAGATACTTACTTGATAGGTTGAGGATGTACAATAATGGGATGAGCTACTCTGGCGGACGTGGACGAGGTGATGACAGGTGATCGAAATGCTGATGTCGGCTCTGTACTCATGACTTCATCAACGGACCTATCCTCACTTCGTTCCTTCTCTACACCTGACCACTTTCCCCTGGCCTGTAATTTGAATATATTAGACTGGAATATCAGTCGCTATTTCATTAAAAGTTAATTTCTTTTTTCATGTGGAAACAAAAAGGAATGAATATCAAAAGGACACGTTTATCGAAATACGAAAAATCAGTATTTCGACCATTTTCTCTCTAGTCTCGTCAAACCGAAAATTGTTCCACGCTTTGCCACCTGGATTATTTGCCGAAATACCGTGTTACCGGATTTTCATTGAAAAGTATAACAATCGAATATCCAGGATACCAGAATTTTGATGAGCAATGTATTAAAATCTTGGTAACATTTGTACTCAAAGGAATAATGCATCGTTATGCAGCTCAATTAGTACAGACACCTTACGAAACTAGTTTTTATTTTCAAATTTAATAACTGTAACATATGATGAGACTTCCAGAGATAGAATTAAGAGAAGAAAGTTACTTTTATTACTAATAATAATCATAAAAAATGTGAATAAAACAATGTAGAAAGATAGAGGAAGATGAATTCAAAAAGAATAATATTTAGTGGATCTTTCTTATCATTCCGGTTATCACGATTGCTCGCAAGTAATCCTTTCTTTATAATATATCGAGATTTCCTACCATAAAATTTTTTGAGTGAAAATCTGATTAAAGTTTGCAGAACCGTCAATTCGTCTCAGTTATCACTTCAGTACTAAATAATTTCAATATCAGTTCTTCAAAAGGTTTTTTTCTTAATTGTTCCAATAATTTATCAGAAGAAACTATGCAAGCTGGGAAAACGTATTTAAACTCTTACTTTTGTTGGAATTTTGAATTCTATGACAAACATTGTGGATAGCGGACAGTGGCAGTGATGGCGTTCAAATGTGTTAGATAATTCGGAAATTTTAAGTTTAGAGGTAGAACTTAACCAACCCAAAACCTCGGCTTTTTAATTCAACTTGTCGGTAGTTATGTATCATACAGAAAATAGAAATTTAGAACCCGATGAAATTAAGAAGAATTAAATTCTGACAAAATTTACAAGCAATGCAATTTGAAGCATACTTTCAGGACGATGAACGGGAGGTAATGCGTCTAAAAATATAAGGAAGGTTTAAGGGTCATGTTTGCAAAGATGAACGCTCTGGACGAATTTTCCAAGGAAAAAAAAGAAATTTTGTCAGTGATGGTAGGCATATAATTTTGTGGTCTGACACAATCTGGAGGCGGTCGTTTGCATCCACGGGAGAGAAAAGGGAAGAGGAGTAGGCATCTGGAGCGGTATCATGATGAGACAGGTGGAGTTGTCCATTGTTGTCACCATCATCAGGAAGGGCCGATCGTGGCTGGCTGGACCTTCCGAGGACAGTCGTTGGGAAGATATGTAGGCCGACCGTGATATGGCGTAATCGGGCTCAAAGGATGGGCGGAGGGCTGTTAGGGTAGGGGAAGGGGAGGTCAGAAGGGTATGCAGAATGGGGTGCGTAACATCGATTTAGGGAGGGGGTGGAGGTATGTTTGGAGCCCCGCTACGATCGTGGAAATTGGGTGACCAACATATCCCGAGAACCTTCTTTCTGTTTCCATCTCGCTCTTACAGTATTTTTTGAATTCTTAATAAATCTTGTGTTGTGAAACACGGTAGAACTTCCCTAATAAAAAGTGCTCCATGGGACGGAGAATATGTAAAAAAGTAACATTTCGTCCACAGCGTAGATATCTCGGGGATGCTGGACCTTGGAAAAGGTTAGGAAAGAAGGAAGAAGTAGGATAGGGGAAAAAAGAAGGTTATGTCACTGTCTACCAATACGACAGTTTAGGAAGGTGCTACTTCAAACCAGAATTCAAGAATCCATCCATTGACCCAGGATCTCAACTAAAGATAATGAAACGATCAGTTCAGATCGAATCACCGATTCATTCAGGACTCACTTAGTTGCGATGACAAAATGAAGGCAATGGATTAATGTTGCTTCTGAGAGTTGAATAAAAATTCAATTGCATGTGCGAAAAAATTGAGGTCGTATACACATATTTATTTGATTATATAATCAGCAGAAGATAACAATGTCGACCAATCCCATCGACCTATTACCTTTACTATCATGACTCCTCCAATCTGCTGACCAACGGCCATCCTTTACCTAACAACAAATGGATGTCTTCGAAAATATGCATATAGAACCTTATTGAAGAGGTTCGCAAAATTCGATGCGCAACCCATTTCGAAAAATAGATACCCTGCAATTGTTGCGTCCCTGAAAATGTAGGGCGATAATGTAATGCTCGAAAGTGGGTCGGGTCAGGTGGTGTCGTGCCCCTGTAGAAGGCACCATGGACGACCTACTTATTCACCCGGCTCATCCATAACTGGGAAGAGGTGAACGCTTTTGGGTTATATGAAATGCAAATCCTTAACTCTGCATTTTTTGCTTCAAATCTTATTTTTGTAGCGAAAGATAACTATCTTTTCAAATTGAAACAACAAATTTACATAATCAAACGTTTCAATTAAATATCAGGTAAAGTAAACTGTTGAGTGAACTTTGTAAGTAGATACTAAAGTAAACAAGTAGCAGAAAAGAAGAGCTCATTTCGGTCCCTTTCATTCAAATTGTATTCGAATGATATTAACCGAAGCTGTTAAGAAGATGACAGATGCTAATTCATGAAAGGTTCATTTGATTCAATATTCAGTTTTTTTAAATTCCTATCTATAGAATAGAAACAAAGCGCAAAATACCATTTCACGAAAATTAAAAGAGTTTTCGTAAACAAAGTTAGTGTATTTCCCATTTAGCAGAGTAAAGAAATACAGGCAATAAGCTCGTGGTAATCTTCCTCACTAAACTTACATAAGGAAGGCATTATTTTACTTGAAAATCATATAACCAAAGTTTTTTGAGGCTTCATTTTCTGCCAAATTTATAAAAAGTCTATAAATTTATTCAATTCGATCCACAAGGAGCCAACCAGAAAATATATTTAAAGTAAAATAATGATTTGAAGTGGATTTTAGGCAATTTCAGGCAAAATTGCATAGTTTATGAAACTTTAAATTGACTTCATATCAATGTATTTTCGGCCATCGCAAAAAGAAGACAGTGAACATGACAGAAAGGAAATAAAAGAAGAAATAAACAACCTGATGGAACAATCTTCCTTTATAAAAAATCTATAAATTTATTTAATTCATTCATAAGGAATTCAATCCAGCATAAAAATTGACAAATCAAGGAGTGCATTAGTGAGGAGTGATGGAAGTAATATAGTTTAAAGAAGTGGAAACCGTGAGAAGAAAGAAAGCACACGGAAAGCGATCAGGAAGGGTGATTCCGAGAAGTGGCGATGATTGCCATCCAGAAGGTTGGATAGAGATGACGGATGCATCCACATTGATAGATTTGATGCTGACCGACCTCCATCTAACCTCATTTCCACCAAAGTATTATTCCTGATTTCTGCCGTTCACCGCTACCACTACCATTACCACCATTACGAGTGCGGCGGTACCGTTAGGGAAAATTAAAATTGGAAAATAAAAGACATATGTCAACAGATGGCTTGAACGATTAAGCGGTCTTATCAGGTAGAATCTAGTGTTGAAATAACTGAATAAGCTAAGTAATCACTTGGATCATTCAAATTTAATCATTTGAACAAAATTAGAGGAACTATTTCAAAATATTTCAAAATGTAACATTTCACTCAATGAATAATGTAGCGGATATACTGTTTGTTGGTTACTTCTACTGAAGTGTTGCTGGACCAAGATTGAACTTATCGTTTTAGTTTAAATGAACTTTCTCCCATTATCAATTAACTCTGAGTAATAGTATTACAAGAGAGATTCAAAATGAAATAGCTTTGTTCTGCGTTCCTCGCAGTCACTGATAATATGCAAATTGTTCCAAATGTTTCAATGTTTGCTTCCATTTCATATCAAACGATATTTTAAAAAAAATAAAAACAACTTCGAAAGCCCGTTGTTGATAAGCTCATATGGTAAACAGGAATTTGACATTTGAAATCGGCCAGAAGGACGAATGGGTTTTGCATAACTATGCTTCGTTGGCAATTCTCGCCTAACCTTTGCAGTAAAAATCAGTTTCTCGTAGAAATGAATTATTCTCATGCTTCTAGAATAAATTAGTGATTTATGAATACTAATGATTCAACTTCCTGGGACTTCCCAGATAAGAACAGCGCATCCTGAATATATTTCCATTTGCAGATTCCGATCCGGCCAAAAAGTACTATCTCGAAAGTTGCATCTACTAGGGGATCAAATGTACAGCTTACTTTTTCTTGAACACTTCAACCCCTAATACAGTCTCAATGTTCCTAGATTATTTCGCTATTAACTACGCAACAATATTTCATGTTTGATTATAAACATTAATTCTGAAAATTCTGAGTGAAATTGTCTTAGAAAATCTGAAAAATTAATTAATGAGCATAATTACCGATGGCAATGTGAAATATGCATCTAAATGTTTGTTTTATTGTCAGAATTACTTTAAAAATATAATGTTGTTTGGAAAGATTTCGTACTGAGTGTTCTCATATTACTACACAAGATTTTAAGCCAAAATTTTAAAAACTAGGTGAAAATTGGAATTTCGTTAAAAAGAGAGAAAGGATGGAAAAAGGGAGTGGGAAGGAAGGAGAAGATACTTTCCCTTGTAGTAGTAAATTCCCCCGACCTAACACGGGTATAATTTAATGTCAAAAGGTTGCAAAAGATGTCGCGACCCCCATGCTCCATTGTCATGTGGTGTGTCAAAGTCGTGCGCACAAATCACCAACACTCGGTCGTCATTGATGATTGGAAAAGGAAAGGTTATCCAGGTCAGTGGGCTACTGGCGCATCCTACAAAATACCTTTTCCCGTATCACCATTATTCTTCAAACAATATCTTAAGACGATGTGGAACTCTATCATAAACTATACATCAAACTGTTACTCTTCAGCTGTTTGCAGTAAGCGGAATTCATCGCCTTCCATCTCTGCTTTTTCTGAACGGAAACTTGAGATGGAATTGCAATTATACAAGAATAAATCTTCAAATCAAGTGTTCTGAAGATAGAAATATGTATACTTGTACTTCAACTAATTAGAAACTTCCATAAGTTTCAATTGAGCATTTAAATCAAATTAAAAAAGTGCTGTGTATGATAAATTGAAAACTTATAATTTATTAAAGATGCAGCAGAAATACTCATGTAGCACTTTGCATAATTATAATTACCTTTCGTTCTGAAAAGAAAATTCAAATATTTCCGGTACTTACAATTTTCTGATTTGTGCAGTTGCAGTAAATTTGCATTATTTGCATACAAAACAAAAAAATAAATAAATAAAAAATCACGGTGAAAAACACAAAAGCTTAGAAATTTTCGATAGATTTGGTGGTTCAAAGCTATCCACTTAAGCAAAGTTTTGACATCAAAACATCGGTTTGTAGCATGCAGAACTTTGTAATGTTGTATGCTGATGAATAGTGTAAAAGTTTGCATCAAAGTAAGGGATTTACAAGTGCGGTACTTCCAAAACATCTGGGAACCACCAGCATATTATCCTTATTCACTTACGTAATTCTGAACATAACTATCAACTTAAGAGATTGAATCACGAGAACACCGCAAAAAGCTTAAAAAAGATGATGGAATTAATGAATTTCAAATGAATGCATTTAATTCTGCGAAGTTAAGGATAATTCAAATAAACCTGAAAACACAGGTTAAAAAAATATAGCTAATTAATAACAATTGGATGTAAATTTGCATCATCTTAAAATCTAGTGTAACATCATAAGTGGAATCGAAACCAAAGAAAAGACGGTGGAAAGTAATACTTTCCAGTACTTATATCTACTAGATGAGACAAGATATCTTGAAAAAGATAGGACGGTTCTTTCCTTACTTTATCATCAACACATCATAAGTGATCCTCAGCCAGATATGGGATTGTGGTACTACCACATACCTTTATTTTGCTTGTATAGACAAATCTGAGAATGCTTTGTGCTAGGCTAATCCATAACAATAGCTGTCCTTCATGAAATAAGCAATAGAATGATCAGCAAATGTATCACAATGTTACAGAAAGAAACAGCAGATCGAGCCGAAGAAGTAGTGGGATGGCCAGCCAAAGTATTATCAGTATTACTATCAGTAAGGGTTCTTTGCAATGATATCTCACTATCACTTCCTGATACCACACACTGTGTTACTTTTAGACCGCAAGCTTCTTCCCAATTCGCAATTGCTTTATCTTTGACTAGTTGATAGAATGACTCGAATGGTATCCAGTAATTTAGATCGCTCAGTGCTTTCAATTCTTCGAGATATTCGGCCTGATTGCAAGTTGAATTAAATTTCAGTGATTTTAAAGAAATCTAAATACTTTAAACTAAAAATATCAAACCAAAAAAAAATTAATTGTAAGTATTACGAGAATCTTTTTAACTTTAAATCTTTGTTGGCTCTAATGTACTAGAGGGAAATTTTATCGCTTAGGAGAGGGGAGAGAGAGAACTGGAAAGGATAAGCTCTGCAGAATACGATACTTAGTGTATCACAATTCAACTGTTAAACAAATGAGTTTAATTAAAGTAAGAACAGAAAACTAAGTCACGAACTGTAAAAAGAAAACAGTCGCTTTTATCTTAATGATCGCTAGATTGAGTTAGACACAATATCGTGTAGAAGTAATAATTTCAATATTACCTGTCGAATGGTATGTCTATCGATGGCTGATGCTTCATGAAACAGCAGTCGAATGGATTTATTTGGTTTATCGCGATATTCCAACATGAAACCGGCTGCCGTGTCCAGATAGGTTTGATTTATTCGTAATAACTTCATCACCGATAGTGTCACTTCGAAATGCTACAAGCAGGCTTTGAAACGATGTTATCAGGGATTAGAGTGAATCGGAACAGTTCGGAACACTTATGCATTCGCAGTTATTGCTACGAATATTTTTGATTATTTCGCCAACTCTCAATTTACTTATCACTCTTTGTCAATCTGTTTATTATTTCATTCTCAGTCTTTTCCGTTACCGCTCTTCCCACACTGTATCATAGATCCGAAGTTCTTTATTATCTTTTTCAATGTTATGCTATCCCAATCTTTACACATCCCAGAGTCTGAGCTCCACCAAGAAATTCGCTTCATTACCGTCTTAATCCACTGATGGATCGAGAAATCACCTTGGAGAATTACCGATCAACCCCGCTGCTTCTTTAGTCGTGCTATGTAGTGATTACATATCGCTTGAACGCTACAATAATGTCCCCAGCTTCAGACATATATTCAGGTTGGTGCAAAAATATATCCTGTTTTTTGTATGACAATTTGCTAATATTGGAAGATATTCCTGAATAAATATGAATGGATTGCACTATATATATCTCAGTGGCTTCATCATTTGCTATATTTGATTTGAGGGAATAATTTTGAGGAACTAGTTAGGATACAACAGTGTTTGACATAAATTCGATTGATTTTCATACCTCAGTTCAATATAGGTCATAAAAGGGGGAGGAGGGAAGTAAATCATAATATCAGTAACGTATTTGATCTAGGAATTGCTTACAGTGGTAATTCAAAAGAAGTCTATGAGGACCATGAAGATAAAGAACATAGTGACCAACCATTCGAAGGTGACAATGACCCACAGAGAGCACGAGCAATTATCGAATTTGATTCTTTTACGGTTACACAAGAAGTTGCTGAGAAATTCAATGTCACCCAACCACCGTTGTTCAAGCAAACTGAGAAAGTGAAAAGGCTCAATAAATAGTGCTGTTTTATGGACTGATCGATAATTGAAGAAATTGCTGCTTTTAAGTGTCGTCTTCTCTGATCCTACATTACAAGAGCAGAACGCTTTGACAACTGGTAACGACAACTAAATGACCCTAGATCAAAGCGTTTCCTTAGACCGAATTTGTACTGGAAAATGAATGGTCACGTCAGTATCTGCGCTCTCTCGTCCGAGTTTAGCACACTGCAGTTTTCTGAGTTCCGGTAAAAAGATCTAAGAAATATGTCCAGCAAACAAATCGATGAGATGTATTAAAAACTGAAATATCTCCAGCCGACAGATAGAAAAGCTGGAATTCTCTTCCCTAGGACATAGCTCAACATAGTCATAATTAACTTCTTAATTGAGCCATGAAGTAAAAATGCTAATTGAGCCATAAAATCTTCCGTCATATTCATTTGATCTATCATCAATCGACTACTACTTCCTCCAGCATTTCAACAACTTTTTACAAGAAATGGTTGTTCTAGTAGTACTTCAATTAGTAAAAATGTGTTTAAGCCCGGTTATAAAATATCTTGAAATTCTCAGTACAAAAGCTCTCCCTCCAGCCCTTCTTTATTACCTTCACGTTCATTGCTGATTCTTTACGGAACTTGAAAAGTAGTAAATCCTCGAGTTTACTGAGAGAAAAAAAACTGGATTAAATTCAAACAAACGTTTAAAAAGCGATTTGTACAGATTTAAGGGAACGCTTTAGACTTTGTTATTTACTGCTTCCATTTATATTTTGCTCACCTGTTCATAAGGACTTACAGGGACTTATCATAAGGACTTACCGAAACATAACCGATGAGTTTTTGAGTTTGGTGTCCATCAACAGTATTACGGAGAATGGTTAAAATGTGGTTGAGCCAGATACCACCCATAATATCGCGACATGGTTCATAGTTGACACAAGTAACTGAATGCTTCTCTAGGAACATCATTATGGCCTCTTTCATCGACCATTTGTCAAATTCTTTCAAAGTGGGTCGCTCAATCCAATCCGGTAAGCTTATGTTATACAAATTCTAAAATGTTAGAAGAACTCGTTTCACATAATCCAGATATAAATAATATCATACAACTAAAGAAGTTTCTCGATCTAAGCCACATCCTCCTAAACTCTCACATAACCTAACAGGCTGAAATTTTGAAGTAAATGAACCTTCTATGATTCAAAATTTAAGCAGTATCCCGAAGTTTGTTAGAAAATTTTAAACTGAAGTGACAGTTATCAAAAGAAACTTTTCAAATGAACCTGTCCTTTCTTGCTTTCTTCTTTCACTTCACACTCGACAAGAAAATAGTATGTAAAATTAACAAGGCATAATGGTAAAGAAGTAACATCAGTATGGAGATATTACGCTACCGATATCTAAATGGATGGTACGAATGCTTCATTTATGAAGTAACAAAAGAACTACCATTTCTAAGATGTTATCCGCCAGGTTGGAAGCGCTTTCGATTGATTTGTTCCATCCCGTGTGTTCCGTCATATATTCCAATAGTTGTGCATTTGCAGAAATCATGTGCATTAATTCAGGTAAATTATCATGAATAATTGGCTCCCAAGCTGAATAATCATGTTTATTTCACATACAAATCTTAATGCCATATTCAGAAGTTCCAAAAATATCTAAACCATTCTCAAATAAAATAACTTAATGATAAGACAATCATTCTCACCATACTTTATGTGAAAATGGTGACACACACACACACACTCATTGTAAGTCTGAAAAAGTCTTGACAAGAAATGTATGCGATTTCAGTTTACTTGGTATTTACAACTTTCTACTTGAAGCTTTTTTATTTTATTCATCCGATTTGCAAAGAAAGCAGTGAGAATATCCTTCATGGGAATAAGTCATGTTTTCAGAAATTAAAAAAAGATCACCTCGTTGAGAAGTGCTACAGTTTGGGACGGAATACATTCGTAGCATTGGATCATCGATGATGTATGGTACCGGTGACCATTCTAGAGCATGATTCCATTCGGCAAATGTATCTGGCGGATATAAACCTGCCATAACGACCTAAAAAAATAAAACTGTAACGAAATTTGGAAAATCGGATTAAACCAAATGTCTAGTTGATTTTTCTAGCTCTAATCACCACAATATCCAAAATTTTGTTTAATGTTAAAATGCAAGAATTAAACTGTAACGATTTCGTTTCTTGATATGGTTGTATACTGAGATTTCCAGGTAAGTTTTACAAATTGTTTTAATCGCCATAAAAATGATACGAAATTTAGCACCTGTAGCGTCATTTGACAACGATTCGCGCTAGAAGTATAGAATGTCGCTTCATGTTGAATATAATTGTTACCAACCAAGGGACCGACGAATTCACGAAGCTCCCTGCCAAAACCAAATCCTTCACGTTTGCCGAACTACAACGACAAAAATTGTGATTAAAAACATGCAATCCCATTGGTTTGACCGCTGAAATAATAAATTTCTTTCACGACATACTTCCAGGATTGAATCATGTTGATAGAAAATCTCGGAAGCTAGTATTTGCACCTGTTTTTGGTTTAAGCCGTTCCACCTTAATCATTAATTAAGTTCAGTTGAGATTATTTTAATCCGAATCAACTCTAATTCATGTAATTCATTAAGTATGTGAAGGGATATTTCAGACAAAATTTGCATGATCTGAAACTTTATAAAAAAAAAGAATGGAAGGTAATGAAGAGTGCAGACCTGTGTTAATTCATAAACCCCTTCAAAACCCCAAGTTCGCGAATTCTCGTTCAAAAACTTTCCCGGATGACGGTTGCCATGTCTCATGCCAAATACCACCAGTTTTGCATTTTCGTCGATTGTAATTGATGTTGCTGGCACCGAATTAATATCCTGTTCCAAACTGAGAACTATACAATATATTGTCACATACCAAGAAATAAGCATGTACTGTTACTCCTGTAAGTATACCACCACTGTCTTAACGTCTTCTAAGAGTAGAGAAAATTCCATGAATCATAAGAATGAAATGCTAAATTATGAAGTATGATAGAAATTATAGAATAGAAAAGACTATTGTATCGATTGATTAGGAATGATAAAGGATTACACTGATAAAGAAGTTACGATTAAGAGTATAGCATTAGCACATTTAGAAAAAAATACTGGAAATGTAACAAAAGTAATTCACTGAATGCAATATAATAGGAAGGGTTTTGGAATGAAGGAATAAAGAGCAGGAAGAAATGAAACATATGAAAGCAATAAGATGGAACAGGTTGAAAAGTAAATTAACCTCTTGCACATTAATTAATGCTTCTCATTTAATAATTGCTTAAAGCAATACCTAGTAGAATAACCTCACAGTATGTACGAACTACTTCAGTTTATGACAGCCACAAGTGATCTCTGAACCGTACTTTGCTGTCATCGATTTTTTGTTTGCTCAATTTTGAAAAGAAACTTCAACGTTATGTGAAATTTTTTTTTGCTCACAGTTGTACGCTAGCATTGTTTCAATTCATGTCAAGCATTAAAAATTTGTTTGGAAAAAGATTTTAAAGCCAAAATGAGAAGGAGCAGCTATTAAGATTGTGGAACTTGACCAGCCAAAATTTCCGGAATTATAAGATATATGCCGAAATTGAATCTTTGGAAAGAATTTTTTGAGAAACATCTTCAAGAGACATAATATCCGACAATGCCTCTGAATATACAGGTGAGAAAAACGCACCAAAACTGAAGCTATTACAGCCATCTTTTACAGTTGTCAATGTTGTCATCCGAGCACTCCTCTACACTCCACTAACTCAGCAAAATACTGGTTTGAGTGCGGAATCAATCTCAACAGCATCTTTTAATTCTGTACACCGTAAACACATACATACACACACACACACACACACACATACATGCATACATACATACATACGCACACATACACGACACCTTTTGCGCACGTTCAGTTTTCCGTTGCAGACAAATTAATTAGTTAAAGTTAAATAATACTGTTAGTGTTCGAGCTATTTCCAAACATCCCTCCAGACGATGAACATTTATCGTTTATTTGTTTTTACGGAGGTCAAGGAAAAAGATGTTGAAATGGCTACTGAAAAATTGTTTTCTGGATAGGCAATAAACACAACCGATGAGTCCATGAACCTTATGTTGTCCAATTGTCATTTCCCGAAGAAATTATTTTTCATCAAGTTGTCAAGTACGTTATAACAGGACAGGAAATTCCTTGCAGGAAGATTCTAGAGCCCATTATTTTGTTGTAAAAAATGGAAAAGATACCTGTCACTGTTAGCAAAGATGTATCCATTTCAGTGGCTTTCATCAGGTAAGTCGTGCTTATTTGTCCTTCCATCGACTGATAAATAACACATCGCAAACAGTGCTTTCTGTTAAATGTTTAAAAATTTATCATCTTATCACTTTTTGATAATGCAACACAATGTGGTAATAGTAATAATTAACAATAGTAATTAATAAAAATGATAATTAATAATAATAATAATTAATAATAATAATAATAATAATTAATAATAATAATAATTAATGATAATAATAATTAATAATAATAATAATTAATAATAACAATAATAATAATAGTAATAATAATAATAATAATAATAATAATAATAATAATAATCAAACAATAATAATAATCAAACAATGACAACACTTCCTCGTCAATATGGTAATGAAATTATTGCCAACGGAGAGATTCCAAACTGGAATCATTTAACGTGAAACCGTTATGCTATCGATCCTCAGGGTGAGGAACGGGGTACAGACTAAGGAATACTAATTACTTAAGAATACTTCTCTGCTCTCAAGTACCGAGCAGCGAGATTGCTAAACCTTGCCTCACTGCATTTGGTGGGCCGCTTAACTTCCTCTAATAATAATGATAATTATAGTAATGTTATAATGGTAATGCAAACTATAATGATAATGATAATGCATTTGTAGCATTTCTATGTGATATTTACATAACATTGA